TTTTACACACACCCAAACAGTGGGACCTATGCTACACCACTACCAGCTGCCACGTGACCTAACACAACTCATCTCTCTATTTCCTTCTCTCTCCACCACGTCACCACCTTTCACACACTCAACACGCACCCACACATACACACCACACGCACCCACACACCTAACACACGCACACACGTCACACCTAACAAAGCAGAATTAATTTACACACCTAAGAGCATCTCTAGTGGTATGTTAATTGCAAAATTGTAGAGGCATTGGACAAAAAATCTTCTCCAATGGTGGTTTTTTAATTTCTACTTCTGATGATGTGGTAGGAAAGAGAGTCCAAAAATGTAGAAGCCTTTCTACATCTAAAAGTCAGTTTAGAATTGATGACTCGTTATTTTACTCCTTTTTAATTCTTTTATTTTTAATCAAAATGTATTATTAATAAAAATATACCTGATAAAAATATACCAACAGATGAATATTAGTTGTGTTAAAAATATACCTGATAAAAAAAATACCAGATGAATACAAGAAAAAAAAGAAATAACAGATAATAAAAAAATACAAGATGAATATCAGTTGGGTTGTGGTAGTAGCTGTCAAAAGAATAAATATATCTGATATAAAAAACCTGATGAACATCAATTAGCTTGTGGGTGGTACCTCAAAAAATAAATACAGAGCCTGGCTATGATTAATTACAAGAATAATTTATACAATCTAGGTTTTTTGTTGGTTCAAAGTTTGTTAAAGTTTGTTGAACAGTAAAAGAAAAAAAAAAGCAACATTTTATTGTGTATTACAAGAATAATTTATACAACCTAGGTTTTTTGCTGGTTCAAAATTGATTAAAGTTAGTTGCAACAGTAAAAGAAAAAGCAACATTTATCGTGTATAGTGTGATTTTTGGTTCACAGTTTGTGTGCAAGTTTTTCGGCTTTTTTAGAATGAAAAAAAAAAAGTGTATTATTTACAGTGTGTAGACATCTACCACTGGAGAGTTACATATCAACATGACATTCTATTCCTTTCACGTGGACCAGAAGACCGTCTATTTAATTGACAATCCACTCCAACCATTGGAGATGCTCTAACACAGCACAATTAATTTACACACACACACACACACACACACACACACACACACCAAAATCGACACANAAGCCTACACGCCGGAGCACCCGACCTCCACGCCAGATCCGACAGACCCCAATCCCAGTACTTACCGCACAGCCCGCCGACCGCTGCTCTGCCCTGACAGTTTCCGGCGACCTTTGGACTGCGCACATGGAGTTCGTCGTAGTGAACGTCCGCCGGAGAAGACAACAACATCGCCTCGCCGGTTGAATCCGTCGCCAGCCGTCGGAACTCCGTTTGGCTTTTCAAATCGGTCCCACAGATGGCGCCAATGAAGTGAGTAAGATTTTACCCAGGCTCCTTCAACTCGAACGACCACCGGACCTGCAAGAACCCAACGCCGGGAGGGGTCCCGGCGTCGGGCCTCCGACGCTCCAGTCATTATCACTCCAAATCCCAAGAGTATAATTATGAATGTAGAGAGAATGGGATACCTTAGCCCCCTTTTATAGAGGGAGTGTACCTTATTGCCCAAGTTGGGCTTGTCCAATAGCATCATGCCACATGTCCTATCCATGTGTAGGCTTATTCTTCAATACATTCCCTTTTTATCTATTAAACCCGGTCTAGTATAATAACCTATATCAGAGGCGAATCAAGATAAAATCATTGAGAATCATGACTATAAAAAAACTCTAATAAAGATAAAAATATATTTATGAAAAGTAATTAAAGATTCTTCCAATCTAAAACTTAAAATGAGTTTAATCAAGTCAAAATTATTCAGGATCATGACCAATAGAAAAAAAGACAAATAAAGACAAAATATGATAGATCCCACATACATAATAATATTTTCGAAATCCTTTTATGAAATGTAGAAAAATATAATGAGGTGAATCAAGACAAAATCATTGAGGATCATGACTATTAAAAAAAGACAGATAAAGATAAAATATGATCGATCCTACGTACATAATAATATCTTCCAAATCCTTGTTTGAAATGTAGATGGAGAATAAAATAGAGTACGGAAAATGTGTTCGAACACCAAAAATAAAAGCAGAAGCAAACAATGTTAAAATCTCTTTGAAGAGCGTCTCACTATCCCTTAGAACTTTACATATATATATATATATATATATAGGGTCGCACTCACACGAGGATGGTGCTTAGTGAAAGAAATAAGAATAAATCATAGCCATTTGATCGGATGATCTAATGGCTAAAAAAAGTCAATATTATACCTTCATTAAGGGTAGTGTGGTAATTGTTCACACACAAGCAGTGGGACCCATGCCTCCAACACACACCAACTCATATGTGGGCCCCACTACCTCACTAGCGTCTCCTTATTAATTGCACGCGAGCAATAATCCAGGGGCGTTGATCACCGCTGGGCCATTCAGCGGAGAAATCTACGTTTCCTGGTAATGCGCCGTCCTCATAGCACTCAGCGTGAATAACAAAATTGATTTCGTTGACGGTACCCTAAAAGCCCCTTCCTCTTCTGGTAACACTAATCTCTATGTTTCCTGGTTAAGGGCTAACAATTTAGTCCTCTCATGGCTTCTCAATTCCATTTCTAATGATATACGACAGTCTCTATTGTTTTTCACTTCTGTCGCGCTCACATGAGAATGGTGCTTAGTGAAAGAAATAAGAATAAATCATAGCCATTAGATCGGATGATCTAATGGCTAAAAAAATGTCAATATTATACCTTCATTAAGGGTAGTGTGGTAATTGTTCACACACAAGCAGTGGGACCCATGCCTCCAACACACACCAAATCATATGTGGGCCCCACCACCTCACCCTAATCTCTCTCTCTCTCTCATTACCCCCTCTCTTTCTCTCATTACCTATCTCTCTCACACACACCTCACACACATCTCAACCCGTCAGTCACACACACACACACAGTTACACACACACACGTCATTTTCGCCGTATTTCCACGGTGGCGCAGTCACCCCGCTCCCACCGGCACTGTGCCTCACGGACGTCCGCAGCTGCAAGTCCATCATCTGCAGCATCGCTGTCGGAAATGGTGAGGTCCGAGCCTCTGCCGTTGAACTCGCCGCCTCCGAGCTCCTCCTCCAACGCGAAGTTCTGCCACAGACCGGCCGCTGCCGCAATTATCCAACCATTGAAAATCGCCGCCTGTCCCGCCAGCCACCTCCGTCAATATCCACGACGAGCGAGTCCGGCCAAAACTCCTTCATGCTCTGCCATCGTGTAAGGAGTCGTCGGAGAGTCCTTCGTGATCGGCGTCGTCCTTCGTGTCTGGCGTCGTCCTTCGTGTCCGGTGATGCAGCCGCGGTCAATGGGCAAATGACGGGAAGTGCCTGCAAAAAAATAATGGGCCTGCACTAGATTTAGGGATTAGGGTTTAATTTAGGTACTTTTTTTAAAAAATTAGATATTGTTAAAGGACCTATATATATGCAATTTCATCAATGTTTATTATTTTTCAATTATTCCTTGGCCAAATATATAATTTATAACAAAATAATGTAATAAGTACATATTAATGATAAATAAAAAATGCACAATTCTTAAAAATTTTAATATGAATTTGTGGAAATACATATTAAAATTTACATGTATTGAATATTTCACAATATTATACACTGAGTGCACATTAATGATGTCGATAATGCACATTATCCTAATGCAGTGATCCCGTGTGAAAAAATCAACAGTACACTTATACGCTATTAAGTATGTTTTTTTACTTTTAAAAATTTGATTATTTTTTTAAAACAACCGAACTAACAGATCTGCCCAAACTATATAAAAATGTTACATCTAGTTTTTTATATATATTTTCTTTTATACAACAAGTAATATAAATTATTAAAAATAAATATTATAATTACCCAATCAAATAAATCGGTTATTTCGTTTTCAATTTGGGTTAAGAAAAAAAAAAACTTCATTTCGAGTGCACATCAGTGTTATACGGATTGCACATTAGTGACTGTTGCACCATATCGACCAAAACAGACCGATTAAGTTTCTTTTGTCCAAATTCTATATTTTGGTTCGATTATCTGTTTTTACTTTTAACTCTTTTGGTTGTTTCAATTCAATGTCGTTTTTTTAAAATAACCTACTCGATCGAAATATATTATTTTGTTATTTATATATTTTAGGTATTTACAACAAAAAATAATAGAAAAATATTAAACAAAACATTAAAATAATAAATATATTTTGTATAATATGAACTATAATTTGTTCCGGTTAATTATGTTATTCGGTTCACTGATCAAATAAACTAACTATTTCATTTTGTTTTAGTTTGTTTGGGCAAATCATAAAAAAATAATAAACGGCTAGTGCGCAGTATTAGATGGATTACACATTAATGACTATCAGATTACACATTAGAAACTGAAACACGCCGAACAAAAATTCAATTCGAATCATTTTATGTTTGGATTTGATTATATG